GCCATTATAACGTGCCAGTCTCCTGATTCGCCTATAGCCTTTGCTGTAGCTAGTCCCAAACCAGAGGAGGCTCCGGTAATTATCACATTGCCTTTCCTGAGGGTTTTCTTCTGTCCGGAGGTAGACTGGGTGATTGCAGGAGTGGTAGCAGCTGTTTGTGCTCTAATAGGTACAATTGCTAATTTCCTTGTCAATTCCTATACATGATATGCGATATGTTAGCTCACTCTCTAAAAAGGAATGAAGCAGTGAATGATACAGTTTATTTCATTCTCCACAAAGGAATTAAGCAGTACATTTCAAGTAAAAAATGTTAGAGAAATGCAAGGAAAGAAGATCGGTTTAAAAACATGGCCTTTATTCATTTAGAGGTCAGTATTTGCACAATTTGCATCTCCATAAATGCATGACGATATTTTTTTTCTTGCTTAGGTGAGATGTTTCTATTTATGATCTGATGAACAAGCAGTCAATCAACAAAAGAGGTGAATCAAGAAAAAGTTCATAAATGTGTTTCTACTTCAAATGGAGTAACCAAAACTCCAAAAGATCATCAATTTTATGTTCTACAATCTACACTAACCCAAGAAGAATCTAGAACTCTTAAATATTTGCACTCTCTTGCAGCTTGAAATAAATACTGCTTCTTAGGCTCTTGCTTCTTTACTCTGGTAAGTAATTTGACTTCCTAAAATAACTTTCCATGAAGAGGAGATACTCTAAGCTTCTTGTGCTATAATATACTTTTTTCATTTAGTAGATAGTTATTTAACAACTTGCACCCTAATGACCTGTTTGGACGCTGGCCCGGACACCACAGTTATACCAAAAGAAAAAACTTCAACATTTGCATGTCTAAACACAACTTCAATTTTCAAATACTCCTCCTCCCCCCAATATCATCAAATTCATGTCGAAACACCTACTAAATACAAAGATTTAAACATAAAGACTATATTTTTATGATACCTTGTTTCCTGCAGGAGTGAATTTAGATTTCAGATTGCAAGACAATGCAACTCCAAAGAAGCTACTGTCCTTTAGATTAGCACTTGATGTTTTACCCTGCCAGCCACAATTGAGCCTCAAGAAAATCATTTTCAGGTCAGTAATTAAAGCTAGTTAATTGAAAAGTTTGCAACTTTACCTCTTTATGGAGAGAAAATGCAGATGGAAGCAAAGATGCTGCTTGTAGAGCCATTTTGCACCTATTTGTCAATGATTTTTTTTCACTCAACACTCTACTTAAGAAGGTGAGGTTTGGGGGAGGGGGGGGGGGGGGGTGTTCTGGAATGATCTGGGGGTATGTGGGCTTTTGTAAAGGAAAATCAGATTACAAAGATATTTGGGTTTTGGGGCAAGGATAAGATGGTAATCTAGAGATGCCATGTCAGCTTCCTTTAGCCAATCAATGTTTGAGTTTGGATTCTCCTTGATATTTTAGTAGTAGTATTTACTACCAGCATTATTGGTGATAGAAGTGGGCTGGGCCAAAATATCAAAAGGCCTACATTGGTAGTAGAAAGAAGGCCCAACTAAGACTTGAGAACTATGAAGGCCCTTGGATATTACCAATCATAGAATTAAAAAATATTTTTTTCTGTTTAAGTGGCTATTACCACAAATATTTTGATTGATTGAATAGGTGAGAAGAAGAAATAGTAATGTTTTCATATGAAAAAATCAGGAAATTCCTCACTATTTTAATGAGAATCTGTTTTTCATCATGCATTTCTCAGTGAGCTGGTTCGGTGCAAAATAAATGGAAAAATTATGTTCTATATCACAAATTTTCACTGATTCATGGTGGGAAAAATCTTTGTTATTAGTAGTGTATTTCTTTAAAATAATGTCTTATTTCGGATGCCTTGTGTAAAATGAGATAGAGGGAGTATGAAATAACGTTTCGAGGTGTCTACGTGATGAGGCATGTGACATACTCTCTAGTAAAAAACTTTATTTTGCGTCTCACACAACTGACACTATTTGTTTGAGGTTCCTTTTTTTGTCATAGACGTTGGTGGACAAAATATTAACTTTGTGTCTATTAACTTGTGAAATAAAATGGAGGATCACACTGGTGAACCTTTATGTATTAGCCCAATTTTAATTTCCCCTTCCATTTATTTTAATTTTCAGTTTTTCTTTTTTTCTTTTTTTCTTTTTCGTAGTTTATATTGGTCTTAACTTATTTATTTTTTGGAGTTATTTTAGGATGACTTCTCTGATGACACATTATTTTTCCCTTGCAGAACAAGTTCTTTGAACGCTATTTTTCTATCACAATATTGTGGACTTTGAATGTTTCTAATTAATTCCTCTCGATGTTTTTCTAGTCATCTTGAGCTGAGGGTCTCTTGGAAACAGCCTCTCTACCTCCACGAGGTAGTGGCAAGGTCTGCGTACTATTTACCCTCCCCAGACCCCACCTAGTGGGATTTCACTGGGTTGTTGTTGTTGTTGATGTTTTTCTAGTCAAATACAATAATTGTAAGATAAAAAATAAAAAATCACAACGAAAACAAAGTCAGTAATTTAAATAAATATAGTCCCATGTTTATGGATATGATTGATTGTGAAATAAAGTAGAAGCTTATGTTAACATCAAAATCATATTGCCTTGTCCTAATTGGATTTTGTTTTTGTCATTTCTTGTAAATATACACAATCTTATGTTAACATCTATGTGTATATTATTCAGAGTTTAATTTTTTATATATTGATAGTATAAAAGAAGTTTTGCAATATCTGATTGTTTAATGAAGTGATATTGATGGATGATGGGTTATTTTAATCTTCTTATATAGTTTTAATTTTTGAATAGCTTTTGAGATTGAGTTAGATCCGTAACAATTAATGATTTAGGTGATATCGAAACCTCATCTTATATTGTCCGTGCAGAGGATTGGACAACATCGTTGAGTTCCCGTGTGGACGGATGATTGGGTGTTGAGTTCCCACATCGATAGGTGATGAATTATTTGATCTCCTACACTTAATAACATAGGCGGACTCAGAATTTTGAAATATGTGAGTAAGTTAATATTACAATAACAATTGTATTAATTGGTACATAGTTATACATATTAAGTAGTTGTGAATCCTAATTCTTATTGTAGTATCTATTTAACTTAAGGTTGTTATAGGAATCCATAAACTTCAAATTATGAGTCTGTCTATTTTTTTTTTTTTGATGACAAGGGAAACCCGCAGCCGCTATCCTTTGGGTGCGCACAAGGTAAAATCCCCCGTTCCTATGCAATAGCTCACAAACCACATAAGAGAGGTAACCCGCACTAGGCAAGCCCGGTGCGACGAGCTCGACCTAGGAGGCAAACCCCTTGCTTACGCTGGCAAGGGGTTTCGAACTTGAGACCTCCAACATGGAAGTCCCAAGCCCAAACCACTAGGCCACCCCGAAGGGTCATGAGTTTGTCTATGCTACCTCATAAAATGAAGATTATCCAAGACTACACTACGAGATCAAATAAACCATCACCCATCCAACTCAACCTAAAAGTTAACTCATAAAATGAGAATTATCCAAGACTGCACTATGAGATCAAATAACACATTACCCACCGACGGGCAAAAGCTACATGTGTTTCCGTGAACTCATTTACGGGCCGATAAATCTTCCCTTGATTGGTAATAGATTAAGATGTACTGATAATATGTTGTTGATGTATATAAGTTAAATTCATATTTAAAGTATATATTAAAAAGATAATAAGCCATGCTTGATGGTCATTAATAAATTAGAGTGGAATTAATATAAAATTAGTAGAGATAATAGGGGTGCAGCCGCTCCATGACATCAATTGTTTGGCATATGCTTTAGTTCTAAGCTAATTAAGGACCACTTAACGTAATCTGTAGCTATCCAATCCAACCAAAACATTTTAGATATTTTTTGTTGTCTTTTTTTAATATTATTATTTGTTGACAATTTTAAAACATGTCATTTTCTCATCACAGGCTATAACTGATGTTGTCCTAATTAAGAAGAAATTAAGATGATTTCATGGGCCGGCTACTGGGGCCCCCACTCAATGGATTAACAATATAATTAAGGACTAAAAAGCATGTTAATGACATATTATTAAATGGATTGACTTCTTTGTTTTGGTTAATTAAAAAAAAAACTGCTTTTTGGCCATAGATTCTTGTGTGATGTTTATCAATAGAGTCGGATTTAAGATTTTAGGGGTCAGTTTTATATGCGGACTAAATTATTTTGGGATTGTAATTCTTGGACTAGTTTATCCTACCGTAGAGATGGGACAAAATAATTTCAAGTTTGTTTATGGGATGAATATATATTGTCAAACCAAACACAATATAATCGAATTTCAAATTTAATCTTATTCTGCGTACCAAACGATCCGTGGATGCACTTCCTAATATATTCAGATATATTTGTTAAAAAGATCTTGTGGGTATTCTATTTGGACATCACTATTCACTATGTACTTATTTTTTAATTTTTTTGCACATCTACCCATTTCGGAGTATAACTTCAGACATCGCTATTCAATATGTACTTATATTAAAAAAAATATTGCACGCCTACCCATTTCGCAATATAACTTCAGACACATGATATCTAAAGCTTGGTTTGACAAAGCGTAACTTCAGGCAAGTTTCATGGGGTTGAAGCTCAGACAATCAGTTTGAAGTTCAAGTAAAAATAGTTGAATTTCAGTCATATGTGTATGAACTTTGGATAAAATGATTGAACTTAAGCGACTATACCTGTGAAACTCCAAACATTAGGCTTTGTCAAGACTATCTTCAAACACCACATTGTCTGAAGTTATAATTTCACCTCATACAAATTTTTAGTTTGGCGGAGAGATCATGGGTTCACGTATGCTAATGCCATGCATGAACCTACATCCTTTTTGTTCTGCTTTGTTTGTTACAAAATACCATTTTTCTTGCAAACTATATTCCAAACAAGGACAAATGTATATATCAATCAAAAAAGGAAAGATATGTTGAACTAAATATCTTCAATAAAAACAACAACAACAACAAACAAATTACAACATATAGATCTGAAGTGAAGATAATACATATACAGACACTTCAACTTCCTCCATCCTCGCGAATCAAAAAATGAGCTCGTGATGGAGTGACTATCGAGAGTAGATCATAAAACTATCTCCCTCGACGTCTAATCTAAGATAATTTAACTACTAGCATATGGTCTCAACTAAATGTGATACATATGTATGAAGTACTAGTAAACAACAAGTACACATTGTCACTGCAAGAAAAGGCTTTAAATATGCAGCCATTTTGCAGAAATGACAAAGTATGGTGGATCAAGTGGAAGAAAGGTCCAAAGATGGGAGAGTAGAAGAGTTAAAAGGGAAAAGAGATGAACAAAGATGGCGTGTGAGCTCACACGGAAGGATTCATCCACCGGATGAATCCCTGGAGATTATCTAAAAGAATCTCCTATGGCCAAAGGGAGTTGTAAATCTTGAAATGGTATAAAGGGTAGCCTGGTGCATGTGACCTGGATGGACCACAAGGGTATATTGTATACAGTCTTAACCTGCATTTCTGCAAGAGACTGTTTCCATGAAATGGTATGTGACACCTAAATCCTAACAAGACGAATGTATGAGAAAAGTTGAACCTAGAAGAACGGCCTCATAGGACATGAAGGCGAAGATGGATCGCTATTCGTATCATGATGTTGATGAGGATCAGAATTATGAGGCTCTTGTTGACAGAAATTCCCAAAATGAAGATTAGGTGGAAACATGAGGTTGTTATTTGAGTCAAAATCATCCCAAACTGGACTACCTGGACCCCAACCAGTTGCATTGAACCAAGCCTCAGCCATATCACCCCATACTAATTCAGATGATTGTGAATTAGTAGTCACCTCACTCGATCCAATCCCCGAGTCCTCGTCATGGTTATCACCTTCCGGTAGTGGCTGTGGGGGCGGTGACGGAGGCAATTGTTCATTATTTATAGGTTGTAATTCTAGACTTTCCGAATTTTGTTCAGGGAGCGAAGATTCATGAGGAGCAATTGGAGATGACAGAGATGGTTCTCCTTTGTCTTTACCAATAAAGAGTTCGGGGAAATTGAGCTTAGCATTGTCTCCTCTTAGCTTATACGCCTCGCGGTCATAAGCCATAGCTGCATCTTCAGCTGTATCAAAAGTACCAAGCCAAAGACGAGTCCTATTACGAGGAAGACGAATTTCAGCTACCCATTTCCCCCAATGTCTCTGCCTCACTCCTCTGTATAGCTTCGTTGCGGAAATTGGCTGTACTTGTACTTGTTGAGGCCTAAAAATTCCCCTGCTATCCTGCCCCAATCTGCTCATCATCATCATTCTTCCCCTCGGACTTAAATTAAGCGTTTCATTCCAATACCGCAACATCTGCTGCTGATTCTGTGATGGACCCAATTCCCCTGCAAAATACGGAGGGTAAAGACATTGTTGAGGCGAAAATGAGATCATTTGCTGCTGATTTTGCTGTTGTGGATGATACAGAGGCATCGTGTTCGTTCCCAATTGGGATGAACTATCCATGGATTGCTGCGTCCCGTCAAAGGCAAAAGGGAAAACAAGCCTTGACGATGACGGAGGAGGAGGAAATGCCATTGGTGTTGGATTATTACAAGGAACAAATGGATTTAAAGACGGCTGCTGAACAGAGGATTGGCGTTCCGGACTTTTGATCTTTTTGAAACGCCTATTAGACATGGAAGCTTCTTCAAAAACTGGCCTCCTTTGTTGTCTTTCAAAAGTATTATCATCAAATTCCATTTGTTCCTCTGGTTCCGCCATTGCCACTCACAGCTCGCCGCTCGCTCTCTTCAACCCAAACTGAATATAATTGAAAATGATTTAAAAATTAAAAATCAATGAAAACCCAGTTCATAAAAAAGGAATCTAATCAAAACCCAGATCTTAATTCAGTCAAAAATATTTTGAATTCCAACTGTAAATATTCTCAAAATAAGAGAAAAACAGAGCAAAGTTGGTAAACAAAAAGTATTCGCAAATGTATTTTTCGAGAGAGCGAGCGGCGTGGAGTAAGAGAGAAGAAAAGAGAAATCAAAATTTGGTAAGTAATTGTGAGATTGAAGATGGAGAAGACGAAAATAGATTTTTGATATGAGAGAGGGAGAAGGAGAAAGGGAAAATGAGAGTATAAATATAAGAGAATGAAAAATTTGAGAAATGAAAAGAGTCGTATTCTTAGTTTGGTTTATTTGGACCCACGCGGCTTTCTTCTTTTTATGAATTACCGTTGCTTCCACTCTAACCTTCTTCAACTCTGTTCCCTCCACTATAAAAACCCCCACCCCTTTTTTGGTTCATTTGAACCTGCTTCGAACACATGAGTACTGATTCATTCAAAGTGTTTGAAATCCATTTAAGGTGTCTAAAATCATTTGGCTACAATAACTTGTTATGTTAAGGTGTCCAAAATATGTTATTTAATCACTTTATATATCATTTTACTTGTGTATACAATATTCTTTTTCCGATGAATATGTCCAATTGTACACCTTGACTTGCATGTGCCTCCGCCCCTGGACGTCGAACTCTTTTAGCTAGTCAATGTGTTTACTTCTTCAAATTTTGAACTCTTTAGTAAAAATTCCTAAAATTTGGTCATTGTCCCTTTCTATTTTTCTTTCTCTCTTTCCTTCTCTTTACTTTCTCGTGGTTCTATTCTAAGGGGGTCAAATAAGTGGGTTAAACTAATTTTGAACGAATTAAATTAATAGGCCGATAATGAACAAACTCAAAACATTGTTTGAGTTGAAAAGAGTTGGATTTAAAGAGATTAAAAAAAAATATTTTGAACAAATTTTTTATTTGTCAATATAAATTATAAATCAGTCCAAATTTTTTATGTGTTTAATTATGTGGCTCAGGATGAACATGTCATTAACTCACTCAAACTTGGAAGAATTGAGCGAATCATGCTCAATTCAAAAGCTCCTATCGTTCCGTTTTGGTGAGAAGATAAATACTACAATATTACTTGTTTTAGAGTGAAAATAGGAGCGCGCAAAGAAAATATCAAGGAAAAAATACATATTTCTCTTCTTACTTACAAGATCAAAGTTCAAATGGTAAACGATAAGTAACTCGAGGAATAAGACATTTATGGACTTTTTATGGTTTAATATCTCACGAAAAATAAAAAGATAGGAGTACTTTAATTTACAACATATAATCAAAATTAAATTAAAATTAAAAAAGAGTGGGGTGGTTGGAAGTGCTCCTATATGAATAGACCAATGAGAGTGTGCCACATATGTAGTGGTTGACAATGTGTAAAACATTTGTTCAAACAGTTAATCCGTACAATGAGGTGGCAAGTTACAATTGGTTGTTGAAAATGAACAAAAATATCTAAAAGTTTCAAAGGTGATCAAATTCAAATTTCATTGTTCCATAATAATGTTTGACTTGTTACACTCACCACCTTCCTCCTATTTAGAGAAACCACATGGTTTCCAATAGATCCTATGTGTTTTTCTTTCCCTTTTGCACTATTTATTTTGAGTGGGGATAGAAGAGTCAAGTAGATAGGTCGTGTTGAATTTAACGGATTAGAAAAAAACAAAATTAATATATAAATATGTGGATATTTGATTTGTCCAAAAGTTATTTGGACTGAAATGAAGGTTGTAATTCAATTCATCCACAAGTCATGAAAAAGCAACGATAGTATATGAGGAATAAGCATCGACTAACACTATGTCAATCACCACGATAAAATACAGACAAGATTTAAGCTTTATGGAGCTCAATCATTAAGGTTTTTATAAATATTAAATTCGTTGTATTTTTTTAAATTTATGAGTTCATATCTGGAGTATTTATTATAATATTTATGAATTTTTTTTTAATAAATTTATGATCTGCATTAAAAGTATTGGATTCAAATAAACTCGATATCAACCTATAGAATCTCTTTGTCACATGTAAAATTTAATTAAGAAAAATTAACATCTTACTTTAATTTAGTTGTTTTGTTTGTCACTTAGCTTCTGCATATTCACTTCTATCATTGGTGTTGTACTGTAAACTTTATTAATATTTATGGAAAATGGACAGCAAGTTTATGCATTTTGAGTCTTAATAAATATAATTAGCTCATTAAATAATCATCAAGGAAATAAATAATAGAGGTCCCTAATTAATTAAATTAGCAATGGTAGCTAGAATCTTATCTCCTAACCGACTAAACAATAAACATAATCGTTATTTTTTTTTAAAAAAGGAAAAGATAGTCCCTACATATATTTTTTGTTTTTTTGTTTGTCCATGGAAAAGAATTTATGTACTTCTTCGATCTCAATTTATATGATATAATTTGATTTGTTTCTTCAGAGTCGAATAAAAATAAATCTTAATAGCGATTTAATGATTTGTATGTTTTTTATACATAATCATAGTATACTCTTATCTTTTGGATTTGATTATTATCTATGATTTCTTTTTACTTTTCGATTATTATTTTGTTTTCGTATGATTATTATTTAAGATGATTTGTTAAATTGTCAATAATATTTTAATTATTTTTAAAAATCTTAAAAATTGCATATAGAATGCAGAATCTCAATATTAAAAGTATGCCATGTAACTTGCGACGAAGAAAGTATTATTCTTTTGTTCTTTTGTACGTTTGAAATAATAAACAGACAAGCTGCTGGGTGCATTACACTAGCTCTCCAAAATTAAAACATGTGTTAATATAAAAATTTAAAAATGTGAAGCATCTTTTAATAAAGATCGAGTTTTTTTTTTAAAAGAACAAGAAACAAACAACATGGAGAAATTAAAATCCAAAAACATTAAGAAGCAAATAGATGCATACACGTACGGTAGGTACGAGGTTTGCCTGATGATTTTAATTCAAGTTAATTAATTAATTCTTCTTCTTCTTCTTTTTTATGAAAAGAAAAATATTTTTTTTTCATTTTCAAGAGGATATATATACAGATATTTGAGAAGACGATAAAAATGATCTTTTATATTTGAAATATGATGGTCCTTTTAACTAATATCGTAAATTAAAAAGTGTCATATATATATATTTGAAGGATCATTACAACCTACTCTCAAATATAAGAGATCATTTTTGTCATTTTCTCGCAAATATCCAATCAAGCCTTCGCTCTGATCAACATAATCATTGTTCTTTACTTCCTCTCCCCTCTCCTTCGTTCCCCTGATATAATGAAAACATATTTCTTCTATTTTAATTTGTTTATGTTATTTTTCTTTTTAATTAGGTTAAAAAAGGTTTCTTTTCTTCTTCTTCTATTTTTGTGAGTAATTATTTTTATTCTAACTTTCACATAACATGTTTAGTATCATAAGATTAAAGAACATTTCAGTACTGATTCTACATATTTTTAGTTCAAGATCACAAGATTCAAAACATATTTAATTTCTTAATATCTATGTCATGTTAAAATTATACAAATAAATTAAAATAAAGCGAATAATATTTCTTTTAAAAAAACTTCTAAAAATAACAAAGAAAGTAATTTGAAGTTGGTAAATTTGTACAATGATTGGGTGAAGCTTGAGTGAGAAAGGCGTGGGATCAGGATATCCACGTAATCACTAACTTTCGGCAAAGGACTTAAATTTTATTTTATTTTTTAAAATTTTGTTATAAAATAAAAATGTCAGTTTTTTATTTATTCATGAGATGAGTTTTTGCCTCATATAACTCAGTCTGAAGATCGAGGAAAGTTTAGAAGAGATGGAAAAACCTATTAACGGCCTATCGGGGCGGGGATTAGCTTGTTTCTTCACTAGTCTATCGCCTAAAAAAAATGATTTTGCATTTCGTATTTTTCTTTATTATCTCATATTTATTACTTATCATTTCTTTGTATACGTTTCTTTAAAAGTCATAAATAAAAAATTAATTTATTAGTATAATCTCTTTAATATTTTTTAACATAATTATTTTTTTGATAATTACGACAACTAATATGAGACGGAGAATTATGTCGTTAACAATTTCTTCAAACATAGAAGTCAACCAACAAACCGATGTCTGTTGGATGGGTCGGCGGAGATCGGCACGTGTCGGTGCTCACCCGGTCACTTCATCATTTTTTCTAAAAATAATTTCTCAAGTTCCATCAACACGTGGGACCCCACCACAAAAATAATAGAAAAAGAAGAAAAAAACTACTGTAATTCTCTTTTGTTTTGTCAACATAAATATCTTAATTTCTTTGTAAAATTAATGATCATCTTACAATTTAATTCATTGTTTTAGTTTTAATTTAAAATGGAGAATTGAAAGTTGAGAATTTTGTATGAGGAATATGTCAAACATGAATAACCTTTTTCAATTTCAATATGCTAAATTAAGAAAAAGTTCATTTCCTTTTAAGGTTATAATTAGCGAGAATTTTTTTTCAAGCTTTTTTACGAATAGAAGAGTCAGCAAAGGTACAAATTATCTTATTTAGTCGGTGAGCATTTTAACGTGATTTCAATTTATTTTTTTATAAATACTCCATCACATGTGTTAAGTTCAAGAGGAATTGAATCTTAATCAAAGAGAATAAAAAAGTTTAAGCAAGTTTTATTTCTATCATTAAATCAAGAAATTACTTTTTTACTAAGTTTATGATAGATATTTTTTATATATTTAATATATTTCTCAATATAAATACAAAATCTGCTACAAAGGTTACTGAATCTCGAAATTCTACTCCCATCACTCCTAAAGATAGGTATGGTTTCTTTAGTTACCTTTTTAAGTAATCGTTTACCCCA